GTGAGCCTTGCCATCTGAAGCAGGGAACTGGCTAAGGCAGCTACACCCAGGTCCAACCATCACAAAGCAAGAGACCTGAGAACTAGAAAGGAGAAGCCACTTATCCCTCTGCCCTTCGATTAACCCCACATGTGTTTATCGGCCAGGTTGGCACAATATATCGAAAGGCTCAGCCAATACAAAAGCGGGTCCGACAAAAGCCAGCCCTGAAAGGGTGCCAGCTGCTGTGAATGCTGAAAGCACTGCCGCAGGAGAGGAGGTGAGTGCCCGGAATTGGCACGCTTTGCCGTCACTTGTACTACTGGGGAAAGGGTCACGTGTGACATGGAGGGGGGCACGAGGGCCGCCGGTAGGATGTTTGTACCTGTAGTATCCTCCAGCACACAGCTGCCTTCTTTCAAGTGATCAGGTGATAAAATAGTTTATTTCTTCAGAAGATGAAACAAAGTATTGCTTTCTCTTATTTCCCAAGCAAAATCATTTATAAATTGCTTTATAAAGTAATTTGCCTTATGAACGTTTTCTCAGGTATTTATTTCCATTCCCTTTTCCTCAAGTAGGAGGCCTGATGGTGGAGTGGGCTGTGCATTGGGCTGCTAACCGCAGCTCAAACCCAGCTCTTTAGGAGAAAAATGAAGCTTTCTATTCCCCTTAAAAATTTACAGCCTCCAAGTGGTCGAGGAGATGGTATTAAGGGGGAGCTGATATCAAGGAGTTCAAGAAGGAAGAAAATGTTTTGGAACGGATTTTGGTAGCATTTGTATAATCCTGCTTGATGTCATTGAACTGTGGACTGGTATGATGTCTGGATTAGTTCCTAATAAAATGGTTTGTGGGGGAAAATTTGTTTACCACCTCAGAAACCCAGGGGGCAGTTCTACATTGTTCTATAGGGTCCCTGTGAGTCGGAATTGATTCCGGGGCAGTGAGAGTGAACTTAACTCAAGTATAGAATGAAAGCCCTTAAACCCCAGATAGAATCTAAGGCAGGCAGGAAGGTCACCCTAGAAGTAGCTGACTACGAAGCGTGTCCAGGGAGACACTTGCCTGCAGTCTCGCTTGCACCTGAGCCGACATCGCTGGCAACCTAGGAGGGAACGCCACGCACGTAGCGTGTTCCCGCTGACTTACACTGCGGTGTGCCAACGTGAACGTGCAGAGCGATTGCCTTTGGCAAAGTCTGAGGCTTGACTCCAGCCTGCGGGCATTTTCAAGAAAACCAACAGGCACTTGCTGTTTTGTGTCAGCTCAAGTCTGGCCCCGACTGGCAGGGTGCTACACGCCATTGTGCCAGCACAGCACTGGGTGTGGGAGCTGATGCGCGGGTGGCTTGATGTGGGCTTGATTGTCAAATGTGAACATTGAGTATGGGTCTCCCTGATGGACATCCTAAAAGAATGCAGCCAACACAGCTTTAGTAATTACATCTTGTTAGACGTACAAAATTGCATTTGAAGACTATGAGGGGCTTGAGACCCCTGTGCTCTCTCACTCACTCGGGAGCCCCCAGCAGTGCACAACAGCGAGGTAGTATGTGTTTGAGGAGGACCTACTAAACCTTGACCACAGCGACTGGCTGAGTTTGGCACTCCCACTCATGAGAGCTGACGGTTACAGTTGTCCTAGAGATGCCGGTGAGGGCGACTGTTTCATTTCCATGTATTTGCATACGTCCCAAGTTTCTTTCTGCTATACATTTCTAGGTGCATTCCATTTTGGTAGGTGCAGTTGCTTGGTATGATTTTAATTCTTTTTTCTTTTTTTTAACTTTTCCAGTAAGCTTTTGGAAGCCCTGGTAGCATAGTGATTATGCATCGGGCTGCTAACCATAAGGTCAGAGATCGAAACCACCAGCCGCTTGGAGGGAGAAAGATAGGGCTTTCTACTCCCATAAAGAGTTACACTCTCAGAGATTCACAGGAGCTGTTTTACCCTGCCCCCTAGGGTCGTACGACTCAAAGGCAGTGGGTCTGTTTGGCTTTGAGTAAGGCTTTTATTCCAAGGACACGGGGCAGGGGGACCTGCGCACACTCGGATACCGCTGACACCACGGAGACAGCACCCCTTGACAGCAGGGCAAGTCCGGGTCCTTTGGCCTGCAGTTCTGGTTGGGGAAGCATCTGTCAAAAGGGGCAGCTCGGTAGTTCTTGCTTTTGATCTCAATGTCCTGTGCCATCAAGAGCCCCTGGACATGCTGGCAGCTCGATGTGACCCTCAGAAACGATGGCTGCCACGGGCCTGATTTCAATCTTTTTCACTGGATGGATGGAGACTGGCTTTGTGACCTGCCTGGAGAAGAACCTAGGTATAGCTGCTCTGGGGTGGGGTGTTCTGTATCTCTGTTAGATGTAGCTGACTTCTAAACCCCGAACCCACTGCCATTGATCCATTATGACCCGTAAAGACCCTAGAGTTTCCGAAGGGGGTGAATCTTTGTGGGAGCAGACAGCCTCCTCTTTCTCCTGCAGAGTGGCTGGCAGGTTCAACTGCCAGACCTGCGCTCAGCTGTCCCGTACTTTGGCTCACAGCAGCAGTCACATCCTTCTTACTCATCTAGCTGTCCTGAGCGAGGGCATGTTTAATCAGGGAGCGTTGTGTGCGCTGTCTGATGGGTGGTGACAAACACACCCCAGGCTAAGCAGGGTTCAGGAGCTACAACATTAAGGCGTGAGAGGGTCAGACTGTAGAGACTCATTCACAAACAGTAATACCACGCGACATAACAGCGCTGAAGGCTTGCTCAGGCTGGTTTTA